TACAAACTCACTTTAGATATTCTTTCAAATAAAAGACAGAGATGAAGTTAACTTTATACTTGGTAAGATTTTTAAAATATATGCAAAACAAAAACAGAACTATTCAGCTAGTCCAAGATGAGTAATTCTTCTTCATATTTGTTGGGGGACATTTTTCCTTCAAGTTCAGAAACTGTAGTATCTTAGATGGATTCGAATTGTATTCTAAATGTGAAGTCTGAAATACATGAATTGTTTTGTAGCCTCTCAGGTGAAATTACTTAGTAAAAAGATATTTATGGATATTAATTTTCCTATCTTCACTAACTTCTCCCATAGGAGAAATAGTAGTTTAAAGAGCAAGGTTCCATTTCAATATTCCATTACATTGTTTCATTAAAAGTGTACTGCTAGACTTCAGAAAAAGTAAAGAATGGTAGGTTCTTATGAAAGCACCTTTAAATTAACAAGTACTTTCTCTATTTTCTATTTGTTAATGCTAATGCTTATCAAATTGTAAATGCATAAGCTTGTCTTGTAAAATAATCCTAGCCACCGATGCATGTAAAAATGGTGGTATGGGCAGAAAAAAGAAGATACTAGTCTCTCCAGGATTTTCTTAGTTTGTTTAGGTCATAAAGATAGGAAAAAGAGAAGAAAAAAAGAATGGCAGAAATGAAGTTTCTGTCTTCAACATCTTTTGCACCCTTCTTGAGAGGAATGAGTGATAATAGAATGTACAATGACAAAGGTAAAATAATATGGGATGTGAATACTGAAAGTATGTGAGATTTTATACTAAGGTAAAAATGCTTCCTCTTTGGATATACCTCAAAACTGCAAGGCACTGGAAAAATAATTCAATACATAAAAACAATGCTAATTGTTTCTTATACATGTGTATAGAATTATAGAAGATAGAAGTAGTACAGAGGCTGCTATGGTCTCCGTATTTGTGTTCTCTCCAAGTTAATATATTGGAATCCCCAAGGTGGCAATATTAAGTGAGGCCTTTGGGAGGTGATTAGACCATGAGGGCAGATGTCTCAAGAATAGGGATAGTGCTTTTGTACAAGAGTCATCAGAAACATACTTCTTCCCTTCCAGCATGTAAAGTCACAATGAGGACAGTCATTAAGGAAGTGAGTCCTTACTCTATACAAATTATTCTAGCACCTTTATCTTAGACTTTTCAGCCTCTAGAACTATGAGAAATAAATGTCTTTTGTTTATAAGTTAACCGATCTATGGTATTTTGTTATATCACCCTAGAACAGATAATTATAGGTGTCAAGTTAACAAACTAAGGCATTTTCAGATAGCTGGTAAAATATTATTTCTAGATGTGTCCAATGTGTTTTTTAGAGATTAGCATTTGAATAGGTAGGCTGAGTAAAGTAGATAGCTCTTACCAATATGAATGGGAACCATCTAAGCCTATGATCTAGTCTTTGCAAGAAAACTTTTGAAATATAGAAAACAATGCTCTTGCAAGGCTCTCCAGTTCAGTTTTTGGACAGTTTTTTTTAATTGCCAGAGGGCACATATACTCACCAGAAAGATAAAGAGAGAAAGCATCCCCTAATAGGGCATGGTCACGCTATAATCCCTTCTTTTCCATTTCTCTTTCCTTTTGGGACTTTGGACATGCCAGCCCAGGCCTCACTGTTTTTCAAGCCACTGGAGCCAAGATTTGAACCTTGATCAGTTATATAGGATATGGCTTCCTTAACTACTAGGTTATGGGGCTGGACCTGGACTTTTTTTCCCCCCCAAAAAAATGATGTTTCTTAAACTTAATCAATATTGTCTTATTTCTTTTAGGCATTATTTCCAGTTCTTTAATCCTTATCTTCTTACCCTCAAACTCTCTTTCTACATTCCAGTTATCAAATATGTGAAACATAATTTGTTCCTGTTTCAAATTAAACACCCCTACTTTTTAAAGAAGAATTATTTATTTATTTATCATTATTTTTAATTTGATGAGAGATAGAGAGAGAGAAGAGAGAGAGGAGAGAGAAAAGGAAAGTAAGAAAGCAAGCCACTAAGCATCTACTATGTACCAAGCATTCTTCTGGTGCTGGGGATACTGTGGTGAATATAATGGTTATGGTCTATGTTCCCATGGAAATTAAATTTATAATCCAGTAGAGGTATAGACAGTAAACAAATGGGCAGGCAAATGTACAATACAAATTTTGATCCAGTGTTACAAGGAGAAAGAACTAGCTAGAATAGTTATCCACAATGACATAGTGTAGTGAATTCTTTTCCAAATTTTCCTGATTTTAAGAACTATGGGTGAGGGGCTAGTAGGTGGCATGGGAGTTGGGGTGCTGGAGTCCCACATGGCAGACCACGGGTTGAGTCCTGAACCTGGCAACTTGCTTTCTCACTTTCTCTTTCTCTCTCAATCTCTCTCTCTGGTGGGTACATGTGCCTTGTAACAAATAAAATAAATAAATAAATTAATTAAAAAAATTATGTGTGAATGGAAAGATATAGATTCTCCAGCCCTTCCTTCAAATCCTAGGTTCAGGATAAGGTGATCTATATTTTTAAGAAGTATCAAAGATAATTAGGCATACACTGATGTAGCAGAACTGGAAATACATTAGAAAAGAAGGGAATAAATATATATGAATTGAATTTGATCTCAAGTTGCTCTCCAGCTTTGAATCAATGTTCATAATACACAATACTTTACTGTATAATTAGAAAACAGTATTCCATTTAAAGATACTTTAAATCTAGCTATGCTTCTTTAAAAATAAATAAAATCTAAAATGGAAAAACATGTACCTGTTTTCCATGAAATTTATGTGTCTTGCAAAATGTATTTCAAACATTCAAACGTGTGTTGTTCATAATACAAATATTTGACCATGTGAGTACATTTCGACATATGACCACTATAATTCAAACACAGATGGGAAGGGGAAGCATTAAACTGTATTGCAACAACATGAGAAGGGAGCAAATTTTTGAGGATTTATGGTGGTTCAAAGTTATTATTATAATACCTCAAAAAAGCCCTTCTGACAGATTATCCCCACTTACAGATAACCGGAGTCAGATAAATTACAAAATTTGGTCATGTTAAAATTCAAGTTCCTTCAGAGAGCTGTATTTTTCCCATGGGAAATGAAAGAATTCTGGCACACATCAGGTTTTCAGTTTGTCTTTGCTAAATTAATAAGTCAGTAAATAATAGCACTAACTTGGCAATGACATTTCAAGTTAAACAAATTTGTGCACATAATTAAAAATACTCAATAAAGTCAAAAGAAAATTATGTCAAATTTGCTCCCAAGACTTCTTAGAAGTATAAAACAAAGGAAAAACAAGTCTAAAATTTCCAAATTATACCACAAATACTGATTAACTCGATATCTGAGGCAAAGTTCATTTTGAAGATGAGTAAGTAGAAGGTCTACTAGACTTAAAAATATCTAAATAGTTTTTCCTGAAATCTCAAGAATATATTTATATGACAAACATATTCCTCTCTAATTTATCAGATATTACAGAAGAGTCTTTTTTGGACACATACCTCTTCAAATTTTCTGAGCCATCAGCATGAAGGTATGTTAGAAAATCACTAGAAACAAAAGGATAGCAGGCAGTTCTCTATTTTTTCACCTAGTAAGAGTTTTAACTAATTTTAAAAAAGAAAAAAACTACATATATATTTTTTCTGCATATTAAGATTTTCTGCACATAGTGATGGCTGAGTGATAGCTTCCAATATCAATGGTTTTGGCCACCTTTTACAGTAATGTAGGCGTAGTCTTCAAAAAGTTCATGGAAAATGTGTATTATTAAAAAAATCTACAAATGATTTTCAATTTTTTTTCAGCAAAATAAACTTGTACTTTAATTCCATTTTTCCACAAAATTTTAAAGTCTCTTCATATGTTTTTCATTCTTTTGAATATACATGTAGAAGTGGACTTTTGGGGTCATATGATAACTCTATGTTAAACATTTTGAGAATAGTTTTGGAAAGTGACTAAAACATTTTACATTCTCACCAGCAGTGTGAGAGTTTCAATTTCTCCACATCTTATCTAACACATTTTATTATGTATATTTTTTAAATCAGCTGTCATAGTGGATACAAAGTGGAATCTCATAGTTTTAGTTTCATTTCCATAATGACAATGATGTTGAACATCTTTTTATGTTATCATTGGCCATTTGTATATTTTCTTTGGAGAAATGTTTATTCAGATCCTTTGTCTACTTAAAAATTGTGTTATTTTCTTTTTCCATTTTTGAGTTGTATGTGTACTTTTTTGTCTTTTCTTATTTGCTGCAGAGTATGTGCACTTGCCAGAGAGAGAGAAAAGAAGTCACCCTCTAGAGTGGATGACCATGCCACAATCCCTTCTTCTTCATTTTCCTCTCAGGACTCTGGACACACAACAAAGATATGCCCAGAATGTTTTTCAAGCCATCAGGTCCAGGGCTTCAAGTGCTCGGTTAGTCAATCACACAGAATTCAATCATTTTTTTTTCTTTTTTTGGAGAGATTTTCACTGTAGGGCGCATGCGCTCGCCAGACAGACAGAGAGAGACATAGAGACAGAAAGCAAGAAATCACCCCCCAGGGGGGATGGTCACGCCGCAATCCCTTCTCCTCCATTCTCCTCTCGGGATCTTGGGCACGCACGCACACGTGCCCGGTGTGAGTTTTAAGCCACTGGGTCCAGGACAGGAACCGCGGTCGACTACATGGGAGTCCAGCGACATAGCCATTACGCTAACTGCTGGTTCCCGAGAATCCAATCATTTTAAACTCCACGCCACCTGCTGGCTCAAATTGTACATGTTCTTTACATGCTCTGGGTACAATTTCCTTACCAGATACATAATTTGAAAGTATTATTTTCCATTCTGTGGGTTACTGTTCCACTTTAATGGCAGTATTCTTTGCAGTATTTTATACAAGTTTTTTAAGTTTTCATTTATTCCAGTCATGATCTATAGCACAAAAATTATTGAAAATAGCTTACCCGAACTATTTCACAGTCAACATTTAGTTCAGTTGCAACAGCTTCAATTTTCTCTCTACAAACAGAACCCAGGCTGGTCATGCCATTGTCCCAGTACTTCTTAAGAGTGGCTAAGTCTCGGTCACTGAACTGAGTGCGGTCCTGTAGCTGAGAAACACATTTTTAAGAATTAGAATGTTATAGAAGATCATCATGGTGAGATGTGTAAGGTTACTTTCTACACACAATAACAATGAAATTCATTTCATAATTGTACTGTCTTCCCACATTCTAAAAATGAGCATTTTTGCTGGCCCCTGCTGTCACCTGCATCACCTTCCAGTCCCATGGATACTACCTTATGGTCTTACTCCCTGGGTCAGCCCCCTGCCACATCAGGACATGGCGTTGGGGTGATTCAGGGTAACATGGCTGCAGACTCAGGAGAGTAATGACTACTGCTGCCCCCATGGCCCACAAGTATCTGCAGTGTAACCACTGCTTGCAAGTAGTCCCTACAGAGAGACGTACCAGGCAGGACCCTTGTGGGACAGGAGGAAGTTGGAGAGAATTTCTGGCATGCATTATTTCTACTTGAACAAATATAGAGGAGTCAGCTGCTTGATGCTGATGAGGCTTGGAGGATTCTCCCACTCCAAGCTCCCCATCCAAAAGAGAAAACCAATAAAAACGCTCCACTGAAACTTTGAGCCCCAGACTCTCGCTGTGGATTCCAGCTCTTCCACCCACAGAAAAACAAGGAAACTGGCATGGAGCTAGCAACTATCACATATAAAAGAAAAGTGCAAGAACAAACAGCTTCAAGAGGAAAAAATTGGACCTCCCACTCCATCCCCACCCCTACCTGGCAAGAGAGCTACACCATCCTGCAAGCCGACCAGCAGGTGGAGCTCTGTTTACAACAGTCTCAACAGCCTAGAGGATACAAAACAGAGCACCTCAACCCAACAGAGAGTGAGTAATTTGGACTTTACCCTGTTTGACTGTTAGGGCATGCCTGCATTCTCACTCCTATCAGACTTTTAAGCCCAAGGGAATGGTTATCTACTCCACTAGACCACCCACAGGACAGTTCTTCTTGACCTCCCCAAACTGTCTCACATACAGGCTATACAAACACTGTTATGATCCAGAAGATGTGGTGAGTCACCAGCTCCTCATGAGTCACTTTGCCATTTCCAGCACTATAGAACCTACTCTATGAATTACAAAGGAGTACTTCATCAGATGCCTAAAAGTCAATGTAGGGACAGGAGACATAGAAGTAAACAAGAAAATATCTCTACTCCAAAGGAACACAATAACTTCTCACCAACAATGGATAAAACAAGAAATTACAGAAGTGTCAGAAAAAGAATTGAGAGTATTTGTTGTAACAAAACTTGCTGAGCTGCAGTAGAAAATAGACAATCAATTGGAGGACAAGATAAAATCTTTCCATGACATGAAGGAGGAATTCTACAAAAATATAGACACCCTAAAAAGAATAAAATAGAAATTCTGGAGGTGAAGAAGGAAGAACCAAAATCTTCCTAGAAAGTATAAACAGCAGATTAGACAACATGGAAGAAAGAATCTTTGACAATGAAGACAAAATCTCCAATTTAATCCAAGCTACCAAATAAAATAATAATAAAAAAGTGTCTGCAGGCAACATGAAGGTTAAGGTGACTGCATCCCATATGGCCAACTACATGCTTTGAGTCTCGACAAGTTGAGACCAGCAGATGGTATAGTGGTTACATTTTTGGACTCCCACAAATTTGAATGCAGTTTGAGTCCTGGACCTGGTGACTTGAAACTCATGCTGGACTCATGTGGGTATGTGCCCAAGATTCCAAGAGGAGAATGGAGAAGGGATCATGGTATTGCCATCCCACCTGGGGGATTTCTTGCTTTCTGTCTCTTTGGTAAGCGCATGTACCCTATAGCAAAAATCTCTCTAAAAAAAAGAAAAAAAGAAAGAAGCAAAGAAAAGAATACCAACATATTGGAAATTCTAGACACCATTAAGTGGTCAAATATCCATATAATGTGTATTTTAGAAAACAAAGACATGGCCAAAAGCATAGAAAAACCTCTCTCATGAAACATTGCCTGGAAACTTTCAGAATCTACAGAGACACATAGAAATCAAGATTTAGGAAATACAAAGAACATTAAATTGATTCAACAAAAGAAGATCCTCTTCATGGCACATCATAACCAAATCAGTAAAAATCAAAGAGAAAGACAATATTATAAAAACAACAAGAGAATTGTTAAGTTATTTACAAAGGTTACCCCATCATACTAATTTCAAACCTCTCAACTGAATCAATGCAGGAAAGGTAAAAATGAGATGATGTATTTAAAATTCTGAAAGAAAAAAAATCAGTAAAATATACTACACTAGGAAAGATTTTCCCTCAAATGGAAAGGCAAAATAAAATCATTTCAGATAAACAAAAACTGAAAGAATTTAACCAACACTTGACCATCTATTCAAGAAATACTTAAGTGAATACTCCATTAGGAAAACAAAAGGGAGACAAATGGAAATAAGAGAATTCAAAACAACTAAGAAAATGACTAACGGAATGGCAGGGATAAGTACACAAATATCAATAATAATGCTGAATGTTAATAAATTAAATTGTCCAATTGAAAGACACATATTGACTGAATAGACAAAAAAAGGAGCCTTCTATATGCTGCTTAGAAGAAATATGCCTCACTTATACAGACATACACAGACTGAAAGTGAAAGGCTTTAAAAAGTCCTTTCATGTTAACAGAAAACAAAAATAGGTGGGGTTGCAGTAATATGAGATAAAATAAACTTCAAGATAAAAATTGTGTGACCAGCAGGTTGGCATTATGGTTAAGGCTCTAGACTCCCACATGGCTGACCACAGTTCAAGTCCTGGACCTGGCAGCTTGTGTTCTCACTTTCTTTCTCTCTCTCTCTCTGGAACTTTTTACAAACTGAAAAAGAATAATAATAATGACAAATAAAATTAAAAAGATATTTCTTTTAAAAAGGACAAAAACTGTAAAAGGAGACAATGAAGGACACTACATAGTACTGAAAGAATTAATTTAGCAAGAAGACATAATTATAAATATTTATGCACCCAACACCAGGACAACCAAACATGTAATAGAAAGACTGCAAGATCTAAAGGGAGAGATAGACTGCAACACACTGTTGTGGATTTAACACCCCACTGTCACCACCAGACAGGTCATCTAGACAAAAAATAAACAAAAGACACATGAACTAAATGATACTATGACCTAAATTAATCCGACAGAACATTTATAGAACATTTCACTCAACGGTGACAAAATACACAGTTTTCTCATTTCCATATGTAACATTTTTGAAGATCAACAACATGATAGGGCACAAAACAAGTCTTTACACATTATTAAGTATAGAAATTATATCTAGTATCATTTCAGATCACAATGGAATTTAACTTAAAATCAACTATAGAAAGAGCCTTTGAAAATACATAACATGAAAACTAAGCAATCTACTCCTGAATTACTTCAAAACTACTAAAGAAATTAATTCTGGAATTAAAAGATTTATTAAAACCAATGCAGGACCAGCAGATGGCATAATGATTACATTGCTGTATTCTCACATAGTTGACCAGATCTGGTGGCTTAAAACTCATGCTGAGGATATGTGTGCGAGCGCCCAAAATCCTGAGGGGAGACTGGAGGAGAAGGCATTGCAGCATGGCCATCTCCCATGGGGTAAGGGAGTGATTTCTCACTTTCTGCATCTCTGTCTTTCTAGTGAGCACACACGCCCTAGAGCAAAAATCTATCAGAAAAAAATAAATGATAATGACCACATGACTCTTCATAATCACTGGGACACAGTGAAAGCAGTCATAAGAAGAAAATTTATAACAACTAGTAATCAAAAAAAAAAAAGAAAATAAAAGAAAGAAAGATGTCAGATAACCTAAAAATGCAATTCAAAGAACTGGTAAAGATAGAACAAAAGTACCCACAAAAGAGCAGAAGGCAAAGATAATAAAGATCAGGACAGAAATAAATGAAATAGAGAATAAAAGAACTATACAAAACATTAATAAACAAAGAGTTGTTTTGTTACCAATAAACAAAATTCGCAAACCGCTAGGAAGCCCAATCAAGAAAAACTGAGAGAAGACACCTTCATGGCTCCTGAGAACTAGTGATTTCAGGGAAAAAACAGAAATGGAGATTTTCTACTGATAATTCAGCCTCCAACCCACAAACTCAAGTGGAGAGGCAAGGGGAAACCCTTCAGAAGACTCCTCCATGGCTACTGAGAACTAGTGATTTCAGGGAAAAAAGAGAAATGAAGATTTTCTACTGATAATTCACCCTCCAGCCCACAGACTTGAGTGGTAGGGAGCCCCTCTAGCCTTCTCTCTGTCTCTCTTTGCCTCTCTCTCTGTCTTCTCATTTTTTGGTAATTTTTCCTTTTTAAAATTTTTTAAGGTGAAGTATTTTCTCAGTTTTCAGCCCCTCCTTTCCCTTTATCTTGTTAATTACCCCTCTCCCCCTCCCACCTAGGAGAGGCAAGGGGCAGGCCTTTTATGAAGAAGACACCTTCATGGCTCCTGAGAACTAGTAATTTTGCGCATGCTTGTGCACCACTTGGTTTTCTAATTTTTTGCTTTTTTTAAAAAAAAATCATTTTTTTAGCTTTTTTTAAAATTTTTTTCTTTTTTTCTCTGTTTCCTGATGGTTGTTGTTGTTTATTCCCTTTCTCTGTTTTCTTTTTCTTTTATCTCATCTCTCTGTTCTTCAATCTCCATTCACTGTGTTTCTGGACATGGTGAATTCAATGAATCCTAAATAAATCACTAGGAAGTAAACTAAAAATATAGAATAATTATCTTTACTATTCTGATAAGGCACCAAGAAAAGAAAGTCAAAGGGCTTACTCAACAGGACACAGAGAGTCCATGGCAGAACTAGAAATAGAAATATCTGTAATTTTTTTAGTGGCTTTATCCCTATTATACCTCTAATTACCTGAAGAAGTGTTAAGAAAGTCCAAAAATGGAAGTTAATTAAAAATATGTATCCTGCAAAATCCTGTGTGTGTGTGTGTGTGTTTGTTATGAGAGAGAAAGAAAGAGAAAGAGAAAGAGAAAGAAATCCTTTGGGGGGAGTAGGCAGCAAATGCTGCAAATTATGGCATGAGGAAAAAAGTTCTGCCTAAGATAACATGGTCTGGTCCCTCATAGAGGCTAGACCTCAAATACTTCCTAGAGATTTAAACATTTTTCTGTCTACCTGAATTTTAAAATGGAATACTCTCCTAAATTAGATTCAGGTAACAATGGAAAATATAAACAACAAATAAAACATGATTTTAATAAAAACAGTCACCATAACTAAAACTGATATAATATTGAACAAAATGCACAAATTTATTTGTTTTAAATCTACCACCTTTTGGAAAGTAATTTTAGCCATTGGAGAAAAGGCAGTGTATGAATTTTTGGTTTACTACCAAAACTTGATTGAATAATTAAAGTGTATATATTAATAAAAAATATGTTATTTGTGTGCATGTGTGCTAATAAATTTCATTATCATAAAATCTGTTCCCCTTGTCTAAAAGAACTATGATAAATAATATTTATTGTAAATACTAATACTAAATTTCATTTTCCCAATAAATGAATCAAAACAAGATTATTATTTTTTAATCAAGAAAATCCTTAATTTTTATACAACATAAAATATCATATTGGGTGTGT